GAGACAATAAATAATCATTTTTAATTAATCCTAATGAATTATATAAGACACTGACTGATTAAATCTATTTTTTTTTAACAACTAAATTTTTTTTTTTAAAGAATTAAAAAGTGTCAATATTTTTATATAGATATGATAATGATGATAATAGTTAATAATACCTTGAATAACATCTTCATTTTCTACAATATGTGTTGAACCCACTTTTTGTGGATTATGTTTAGTAGAAATTCCCTATAAAATAAATTAATAAATGAATATATATCAAGAAAAAAAATTTTTTTTTTGAAATTTTTATAATCATTCATTACCCAAACCAAAGCATATTTGAATTCATCAACTAAAGAACGATGAATTACATGACACTAAATAAAAATAAATAATTTTATTATTATATGTTAAAAGTATGAGAAGGATAAATTTGATATTTAAAATTTTCAATTCTAAAAAGAAAACATTTTTAAATTTCTTTAACTCACCACATGTTCAACAGTTGCACCTCTCCTAACAATTAAACCACTCCCAAAATCAGGATATTCTGTATAAGATTATAAAATTATCTCCTTTATTAATATCAAGGTACCAGAATCAATCACATGTACATTAGAAAAATACTACCTCCTCTTTTTTTAGTGTAAACTCTTAATAAATTTAAATTCTTCCAAATCTGATCAACAAGAAAATCAAGGTTCAAATCCATTTCACAACTAATGAATGAAAAATTTATATGAAATTAAAAAGATTAAATGCAAAATGATTTATCATTGCAATTGAATAAACAATAATAACCTAATGACTAATGAATTAGGCTCATGAGCTAATTTATCCAATTCTTCCAAAGTAATAGAATCAATCTTGTTATAGCACTAAATAATAATGATGCCTTGATTAATAGATTGGTTGATTGATTTGATATATAAATAATAATAATATGCAATATATATGTACATATAAACAGTTAATATATTTACGATTCCCCAATACCACATCAATAAATTCATCTACTGTAACATCTTCTCTAACCAAAACCTCTGCATTAAAGATTTCTTGAAGTAAATATAATTTTATATATAATTAAAAACAATATTATTTTATTATAAGGATTAAAAAAACATATTATTTTATATAAAAGGATACTGTAATCATGTAAAATATGATAAACCATTTTTTCATTTAAATGATTTAATTTGACAGTGGCATTAAAGCTAATGCCACCACCTTTCTTAACCTTGAAATAAACATTTGGTTTTTCTTTATTTAATCTAATACCCACAGCTTCTAATTCACGTTCTAATAACATTCTATGATTAATCAATTAAAATAATATTAATGTTATTAGAATATGTAATTAAAATATTTCAATACTTGAAATTTATTTAATTACTTTTGTTGTGTGGTTTTTGTAGCATCCAACATAATCAATATTAAATCTGCAGTCCTTGCAACAGCAATTACTTGTCTTCCTCTACCTTTACCTATTTCAATACAGAAATTGTTATTATTATTATTAAGTACAAGGCATGACAAACTTATGATTGATTAAAAACACACACATAAATATATATATGCTTATTTATTTATTTTTGAACCTTGTGAAGCTCCTTCAATAATTCCAGGTAAATCAAGTAATTGAATATTTGCTCCATTGTATTCAATCTTGCCCGGGATACATGTTAAAGTAGTGAATTCGTATGCACCAGCTTCAGAATGAGTCTTGGTGAGTCGATTAAGTAAAGTTGATTTACCAACTGAAGGAAATCCAATCAATGCAACTCGTGCATCCCCAGATTTCATAACATCGAACCCTTCACCCTGATGATGATGAATTGGATTGTAAATCAATAAGTTTGGCTGGTTAACTAATCTTAAAAAGTTACAGTAATAAAAAGTAAATATAAAAATAATAACATTTTCTTAATTTTTCGCATGTTTGTCTTACTTTTGCACTAGAGCCCTTTGATGGTTCCAAAAGCTGCACTCTATATTTTGCTAGTTTTGCTTTTAATAAGCCAAGGTGATATTCAGTTGCTAAAATGAATATATGTATATATTAATAATATATATATGCATCATA